GCTTTTTTTGTCTTGTTGGTGAGTTTGTTTTTTGGTGGGATGGGGTTGCGTTTTTGTTCTTTTTTGTGCGGCTGGGGGCCGGGTCGCGCGTTTGGGGTTTGGGGGTGGGCGGGGTGGGGGGATGTGTTACAAGGGAATTCTTGGCAAGATATGAGGGTTCCCAGGCTCTATAGAGGGATATATTCTGTAAACTCTATGTTTAATTGTTCTTTGTATTATTGTTTAAATGTTTATTTTGTTGATTTTGTCTTTCCAATTTCGTAAGATCTTAAAGTTTTCTTGCAGATTTTTTTTTAGATATTAATATATCTGCTACTCGATCTTTTTCTCAGCTCCATATTCCATTTTCTAGATGATGTTTTTCTCTGAATCTTTGGAAACTCAATTCCTATTGACTTAAAGTTTCAGTTATTAGTTCTTTGAAGAATTTGCATACAACATGATGTTAGAAATTCCTTGCATCCATTCATTGACTTGATGCTATGAGTTTCTCAATCAAGTGTCATAGAATGGATATAGATCTGAAGTATTTTTAATATTGAGACATAGACTCTGTTATGTGTTGAATTTGTTTGTCTTAGATGTCGAAGGAATGGAGGATTGAATTTGTTTGAAAGAATGCATCTTTATCAAGCTCTTTATGCTATTTCTTGCGGTTTATATTTTAGTTTTACGTACTACTAAATATGAGTATGTGGCCTGATTGCAAATAAGCTTACAACTTACTCTATTGACTTCTTCTCTTTGTGTATGTATCTCCACCCAAATATATTTCCATCTCTCCTCGCTAGAGTCTGTGGTTGGCTATTTTCAACCAAGATACTTGCAGGGATTATGTAAATGATATGATAAAAGCCCCAATTGGACGAGAAAGAACAGTGGCCTTTATAAATAATATGAAATGGTGCAACATAGTTTATAAGATCATATACATATGAGCGCTTACCAAAAAAGCTAGAAATTGATTTCCTACTAAATTTAAGCTAGAAATTGATTTCCTACTAAATATTTCATAAGGTAATGTGAATAACTTAATTTGGTTGTATCTCTGTTCATAATAATATCATGCATCTCTGTCTCAGTGTCTCTTGCCTGTATAACTTAATTTGGTTGTATCTCTGTTCATAATAATATCATGCATCTCTGTCTCAGTGTCTCTTGCCTGTTTGGTCAGTGGAGAAATATACGATTTCTTAGAAACATCAAACTAAAAGCGTAGACAAGCCTCATATTTATAATCCCTGTACCTGTTTCTACAATTGAATATTTTTTTTGTTAGCCTTACTAAAACCCTCATTCTCTAAATATTTTGGTTGATATATTTGCTTTGTTTCCTGATAGAATCCTATTAGACTCAATACTCCCTAATCTTCTTAATTTTCTTTACTTGTTTTAATGCACACATTATACCGTTCCTAATAATTTAACATTTTTTCATATTAATGCAGATATTCTACTTGGTTGGATTTCCCTTGTTCTTTTTTGAAAACATTTCTAAATTTATCGGTGATTCAGGTGAGTTAAGCAACTTTCTTCTATTTTCTCTTTATTTTATTCATAGTGATAGTAACTCTATTTTCTTGTATTTATCTTCTTCTTCACTTAAATATTTATTATTATTATTATTATATGACTTCAAAAAACAGAATTAACCTTAGCATATGAGATATTTGTGATCACTGATGCATGTATAGTGTACCAAGCTTTTCCAAAAAAAACCTTAAATACTATTGAACATTAATTAAAATATACTTATTCTCTCAAATTATATTCATTGCTATACTTATGTTAAATAAAATTAATAATTTAACGCATTAAATTTTCTTTTCCTTGTAGAAATTTACATTCAACTTCTTGGATTGCATAATCACTATACATTTGCATAAGAGTACCTTCTTCCAAATGACTTCAAACCAAGGTTTGAATTCAACATAAATAAATATATATTATTATTGTTTTATGTGTATTTATGTTTATTAATAGTATATTTTATTATTTTTTAACAGAAGAACAAATTCTAATACATGAGAGTAGAAACACCAAATATAATCAGTTGAATGTTGATCAGAAGAGAACTTACATTCAGAAGGTCATTGATAATAATAGAAAGAGGAAAACGAATGATTTTGCTGGCAGTAGTACCAATAGCAAGCGAAAACGTAAGATTGTTTTGTTTTGTGGAGCGCAACAGCGGGAATATGAGCATGGAGGCTTGCATAGATTAATTTTATATTTTATTAAAATGATTACATGATTTTATATATCTAAATTTATTAAACACTAAAAACTATTATTTTTTTCTAGGTCAAATTAACCATGAACCAGTATGTTCTTTATTACATAAACTACGCACTCCAAAGTCTTGTTCATTTTGTGGAGCAAAAAAAATTTGAACACGAGCCACCAACATCTTGTTGCCACAATGGTGAAATCTACCTAGCAGATGTGAATGTTATAAGCTTCTCATAAGAACGAAACCAGGTCCTTTGTTTTCATATCTCTGTTGCAATTTCTTTAACCATGAGGACTTTCCAACAGTTTATAGCTCAACTGACTGACTGACTGATTTTCCTTCTCTTTTTTGAATGAAACTCCAGTACCATTTGGGAAGAGGTCATATAGGTACATCAATGAAAGCAAAGTTATACCACCTGTTGGAGCAAAGATCAAGTACATGGTACTCTTTTACTTTCAATTTGGGTGCTTGTTATTATGCTTTCATATAACTTATTTCCCCCTTTTGTTTATGTTTTTGTAGCCGGCATTTTGTTATTCCTTTATGGAGGGGAAGCGGCTACGTCAACATATTCCTTCAAGGTTTATCTCTATTACCTTTAGAGGTGTTATATGAACATTCTGGCAATTTATGGATTTATGATCCCAAGTTATTCTTATTTTCTGTGAGGTATTTATCCCTATTCTTTAATCACGAATCTTCGTAAATATGATAGATATGTCATCAAAGTCACCAGTCTTGTGTCTATTTTTTCTTTCACCAATTAATGTGTTTTGTACGGAAATCATGCTAATTACAGACTCACTTCGTGCTAGCTACAGACTGACTTTTGAGAACCTCATTATAGAAAGGTGAAAATATATTGTTAGATTTTTAGATCATTATACATGTGGGAAGCCTTCTTGTGTAACAGTTGGATATGATTTTTATTACATAATTGATCATCTCAGGAGCCATGTGTTCAACTCATAGTAGTATGTAGGGTAAAAGAATATTTTTCAATTTCACAATAACAGTATTTGAAGTATCAGACATACCATGGCATGTGAAAGACAGTTCAATAACTAATTGCTTGCTGTTATTTGTATAGTTCCATGTTTCAATACTTCATTTTTAACCTTTTACCTCAAACTCTTCCCCATTCTTTCGTCTTAAAACCTTGAGTAATCTATAGATGGTTTCCAGGCTTTGTTATGGACAGGAATCAATTGTGGGTGTAAACAAATACGAATAATTCAAATAGAGAAATATGATCTTTGTCTGATTTCATATTCATCTTTTGACAAATATGGATATCTATTACATGTCCCATTAAATATGGATTAGAATATAGCAGTAATAAATTATGAGATATCAAGTATATTTAATATATTAAAAAGGTACATATTTTGGCTATGTCCAATACTAGATGGTGCAATGTTTATTGTTAGACCTTTATATATTTGTATAATTCTAATATCAGGAAAGACTTAAAATAAGGTCAATATTTCTTTTTTTTTTAAGGTAGCACAAAGTAAAAGGGGCCTATGCAGTGCACATGCACAAGTTCTACATGGAAGAAAGGACTTATGTACCAAAGTAAACCTGATGAACCAATTAAGCATCTAGATGTAAGTCCATACATTCAGTTAGTTCATATCACAGTAAACCGGCGCGGGGCATTCTCAGCCAAGTAGTGCACCTTTTTTAGGGGGCAGTTTGGACTTTTCACTCTCCCTTATTTGGCTCAGGTTATCCCGCACCATGCAAGGTTCTGATAGAATTCATGCACCCTTATGGATACTTCACTTTCATCCATTAGCACAAAATGTGATATTCTGTTACCTCATATTTGCAAGTATCCTGTCTTTCAGTTCAATCAAGTAGAATGTTGGTGTATTTCATGGCTCACCCATGTTAATTTAGCTACTGTCATTTTAGCAATTCAATGCAGAAAGTGGCAACTTTTCCTAAATATTATATCTTAAATTGATTGTGATTGGTATTTCTCTATATTTCCAGCATTTGGACATAGAATGTCATTGATTGGTTTATTTTCAAGTGACTGAAACATTTCAAATTACTCCTTACATCTTATCAAAGTTAGTAATCTGTTCTACAAATTAAAAACAAAAATAAATGAAAATGTGATGTGTAATGTAATATATACAGAAGATGACTTTTTCTTGCTCCCTTTAAGTTGCAACTAATCAGAAACACTTTTAATTCCGAAGGAAAAAAACTGTTGATTTCCTTGGTTATCATGTTTTTTTTTGTTTTTTTAATGATCATATGACACAAAGTTTCTATATCTTGGTCTATTGCCTTCTCATACCTGGAATTTTCATTTACTAAATGGAATTAGATGGAATGTTGCAAAGAAGCCACCGTTTGACTTTCATTAACAAAAAACCATGCTCAAAGTTATACTCCTTGTAGAACATCAAGCTTATGAGTTTTCTATCTTCATTTTCCCAGTACAAACTCCTTACATGATCTTCACCAGCCTTGAGGATTACAAAGCAAGAGGAACTCAAGCAAGCCCTTACTTCACTGTCACCTACTACACTGAGTTTGCAGAGACCAAGGGCTTGGTGCTCGTTCGCGGAGACATTGTGCTCACCAGCAAGCTCACTGATGATGAAGCACGCTGGCTTGTGCAAACGGTTTGATCGTGAGATTTTTTTGGGTGTACCTGATGAAAAAACCACTGCTAGAGATCCTGTCAGTTCTTACTCGAAAATGTAAATGTGTGTTTTCGAGAGAGTGGAGTCAATGGGATATAGTTTTATCTAATAATTATGTCCTTTTGAACTTTTAAGTGTTTCATAAAATTTCAAACTGAGTACTGCATGATTGCAAGGTTGGGTGATCAATGAGTTCCTATCGTTCAATTGCATTGCAAATGAGCATGGTTTTGGTTGGGATATTCACATGAGTTGGGAAGAGAAAAAACTAAAAATATGTTGTTTGTCTAACTTTGTTTTGGATAAATCCTCAGGTACAAGATCAGGTGAAAATAAACTAAACCGTATAATGCTTTTTGGAATATGACATGGTATCTGTGTAGAACTTTATTTTTGTTAAAGTAGACTATTACCTTATGTAGAGTATACAATTAAGTAATTAACTATGATTTAAATTTATCTACAGGGAAGTTCATGTTGTTATCAGTCAATTTCCAATGGTTAACTTCATGACAGCTATAATTCATCAGTCTAAAGGGAAACACAAAGTGCAGTCAGAAGATTTTGTTTGGATTTACATCCACATCTTCAAACATTACTTTTAGGTATATTCTTGTTATTGTATTTGATTGATCAATCACCTTGTAGATACAACCACTCTACTATCGCATAATTGATCCTTAAATATAAATGTATTATTCAAACATTTTTAATTTTTAGCTTATGTTCATATATATTGTGTACATTCATTAAATTTATACCAAATCTTTTCATAAATATAATTATAATTTAAATTAATATTAAAAATTTTACCACGTGCATTGCACGTGCAATCCAACTAGTAACTCAAAATAGGTGTTGAGATATTTAAGTTCTATAAATATTTTAATTGAGGGCAAATAGCAAATAAATTCCTTATAGTTTACATGACTTTGCACCTACATATCCAATCTTTTTTTCTTCTTGACAGTTAAATACCTTATTGTTTTTTATTGTAGCACTTTACTACCTTATTTTTTGTTAAATATTTGAATGTTCCCATTAAATGTTGAAATATTTATCTGAAAATTTCCATATGGTTTGCACGTGGAAAAATTTACGTGAAATTTTTCCAGTTGAAGGAAAAAACTAATTTGGGGAAACCATATGTGCGGGAGTAAATAAAGTTGTACATGGGTATTTTAGTTGAAATTATCAACTTTGGGGTATAGTTGAGTCATTCTAATCATATCCAAGTGAACTCGGGAAATGTTTCTAACAATTTACATGATAATCCAATGTTTAGTTAACAGAGGGCAAACTACTAATTTAAGAAACTGTTTAGGTAAGTAGGTTCGTTTAGTATTTAATTAAACTGAGAAAAGTAATTGCATATTAGGCACTTAAATCATTCTTACTTGCCAAGTAGTCCCTCAATTTTCAGTATATGCTTATTAATTTCTCAAATCTTAAATTTTCTCGCAAACTTATCTCTCTTGTTAGGTGACTTTATTTATAAGAGTGAAGTTTTGTTAAATTTAACGGAATTAGATGGTTTTCTCGTAACGCCCCCACCATAATTAACTCTATCTTTTAGAATATTACCAATCCGTTTATAATGGGTTTATACCCGCAACCTGCTTCAACTAAAATTCTAATCCGCCAATTTCTTTTTCTTCAACACTCAAGAGCTTCATCAAACTCACACTAAGTTTGGATAGAGTTTTTCGGAAGGGGATGGGAAGGGAGGGGGGAGGCTTACTGTAGAGTCGAAAAATTAAAGTTAGTTGATTTTCTTATTTTAAGAAATGAGTTCGATCACTTGGTACGAATCCCTTACAATCACTCACACTCTCTCTCGATTACAGAAGAAGAGAAGATTAATTTGGCTTCTCTTTTGTTTAAAAGTGGGTTCTTTGTGGCAAAAGGACGCTTCTCTCGATGCTCAAGCCGAGATTGCTTCCCGTTGACGATCAGAACAAGATCACAAAAGCTTCTGACTGTGGCTTAGATCACGAGAATACGAACACTAATCTCCCTTCACGCGATTACCAAAGATCCTCTCAAAAGTCTCTAAGTCCCCTCTTTATAGCTGCTTGCGGCTATTTATAGAGTTTTAGCACGTAACCGACGTGCTAAAATTATGGGTAGAGGGCTTAACTGCCTCCTCCAATTCAACCCACGTTGGCTAATGGGGCGTAACGTGCTCCTGAAGTTTAGCCCACGTGGCTGACTAGGTCTTCTGAGCCGTTACAGCTGGATCTTCTATGGACAACGAGCCTCGCTGCATGGCGAGGTTCGTCAGACTGGACAAGCCTCAATATATAGCGATGTTCATCTTATAAGGCAAGTCTGACGAGCTTCGTCTTCACTGATGAGCTTCGTCTTCATTGACGCGCTTCAAATCTTGTTTTCAACGACAAGCTTTGTTGTTTGAGACGAGGTCCGTCATTGTAATGGCTCTCATCATGCTTGTTATGAGCTTCAACACTCCAAGGCCAAATGATTAGCCGATGATCTATGAAGATCCATGAGAGTGGAGGAGACAGAGGCTTTTTGACTAGCCTCTCAACCCC